TATCGTATACGAGTTTTGTAGATTCGTGATATGTCCTTCAATTTCAATAGAAGCAACCCTAAATCAACATGTCCTTTCGACCGACATTGATCTAAATTAGCCGCTAAAGGCTCACGTGCACTACATGTTTAATTTTAGAAGGACAATTTTTTCCAATCATTTAATGTAAAATGGAAAATTTACAGCAAACCTTTCAAAAATGGATTGTCAAGTCTCAAAGTCAAAATTTTCTAATAAACTAGTGGGAAAAAAAGTCGGAAAACCACATTTCGGCGACACCCAACCTATGCCATACATCCCAACGGACTCTATTCATCTAGGCCTATGATGTTCGGATTCGGGTATGTATCTAAGTGACGGATCTTTTTTTTTTTTTAAAATATAGGATATGGGGACATGACTAAAAATAGTCTAAATTTTGGATACGGGTATATAGGTACGTCTTTGAAACTTCAATTTTTTTACTAACTCAAGGTGTTATTTTGAATAGACCAGAATCAATTGTTCACAAAGAAGGAAATAGTATTAAATAAGGGGTTAAAACAAATAAAATAGAATTTTGGGGTTTAGTTTTCAATTATGAGAAGTTAGTTACTAAATGTCATATAAAATAGAAAATAAGGAACTTGATTGCAATTTGGATTTAGTGGAGCACTAAGTAGTATTGTATGAAACCCATTTTCATTTTATACAAACAAAACCTGAAACCATAGATATAGAGAGGAAAAGAAGGAAAAAACGGAGAAAAGAAAAGGGAAAGAAAAAAAAAAGAAAAAGGAAAATCTAGCACCGTCGCCTTTCTTTCCTCTCTTAGAGATAACACTAGATTTATAGAGAGTAGAAAAGGAAAAGAGAAAAAAAGAAAAAAAGCAAAAAATGACGAAGTGTTCGGTTGAAACTTGGAGGATCTGACACATATCTCATACCCATACCCATGTCGTGTCGTATCCGACACGAGTACTCCAACTATTTTGAAGAGTTCGAGCATCAAAGATCCAGTTGCATTAGAACATGGTCCCCAATCAACAACTCATGCATATATTCAACATTTGATGCAAGCTCCTTCGGACACAATGAAGACGTAGGTCTCAAACTCAAATTTCGGAGCCGATGATGAAATACATGATCGCGGACCACTATTATAGGAACCTACTCTTCATGCTGCATCTATTGAGCATATGGGTCTCTATCAATTTGGTCTTGAAATGGTAGCTAGACTCCATGCAGCACGGAGACTTCTCCATCTCCATGGAGTAAGCTCCCCGTGCGTCCGCAGTTAAATTTTCATTTTCCATTGTTTGTATTTATATTCATTATGATGAAAATAGGTTGAAATTCAAGTTAGGTTTGCTTATCAATAAATTTTATTATTAATATAGATTGTGTTTTTTGAATAATTTGTGCAAATATTTTTATAATACATACTGTCTCCAAACCAATTGTTTTTTGCTTCTATTACTCAATTTCCAAATCATCAATACATTAAAGATTTTATAGAACTTATAGATGCAAATCAACAAGCTTCTTTAATGTGTAGTACTTTCTATGGAATTACTTATGGAGCTATTTATAGAGCAAAAAAACTCAATGACGAAGATGAGTACAACCTGATGTGGTTTGACTTTAAGTACCTGCAAGGAACAAATTCTGCAAATTTTTAAATAGTTAGACGAGGTGAAATCGTATTTTCTCAAATGAAGCTAAAGAACGAACACTACGAAAGCTAAGGTAAATTTAAGGAACGAACACAATTGAAGGTAAAAGCTAAGCTTTTACATATCAAAATAATCTGACACAAGAAATGAACAAATCTTCATCTACCTACCTAAAAAACTGCAACAAGGAAATCGACTGCAGAATGTTTGATCTGTTGCATAAAACTCCCTTCTTTCTAAAATATTCTTTCACCTATGACTCTTCTACGCAATTTCGGTCCTTCCTTTTGCATATTTGACAATACAACGTTGAATTTACCCCAGTTAACATTGACGATGATTTCAATCTTTTAGCAAAATTACAGCAGCGAGAGTCATTGGAGAGAGAAATACAAAAGACGGAGGAAGAAGAAGAAGAAGAGGAGGAGGAGGAGGAGGAGGAGGAGGAGGAAGAAGAAGAAGAAGAAGAAGAAGAAGAAGAAGAAGAAGAAGAAGAAATAGGAGCTTGCACAAGGTTGAGTGGGAAAATAAA